TATAATAGGGCTGCACGATTATGACAAAAATCATAATTGTCGATTATTCCCTTGAAATTGTAATTTCAATTAAACGATTCTCACAATTTACATTGAATGATGTTTATACCATTGTTTGATGCAACTGCATGCCGTATTTTTATATGAAAATAAACAAGCTGAAAACACTCTTTCAAAAAAGAAAAATCGGAAAAATATTTAGTGCTTTTCTATAGTATTAAGCCTCAAATGTCAAATATCGTATTGGTTTCTTCTTTAAATTATATAAAAAAGTAAAAATATGAATGGTATAATGTTATACTAAAACTAAAACAATGGATGCACTGGGACAGCCGTGCAGAGCAACTGTCATGAAGTTGAAGGAAGGCATTGGTCGGAAATGAGTAGTTAGTAGTTTGCAGTTGGTAGGTTCAGATCTACAGAGGAGTGGCAGTTGCTTCTGAGGGGCTGAAACACAAAAGCAAGTCCTTAATGAGATCCACCAGATGGATGACAAGCTAAACTCACTCAGTGTGGACACCCGATGCTGAGAGATGTCCGTGAACGCTTTATCACGAACAGAGGCCCCACACCTCCCGCTTTACGGAGGAAGTGATGACACAATCCGTTGAGTGTGATCTGATAGTGTGAGAGCTTCATAGCAACCTGGCTAACGCTGCGCAGAGGTACGAACGGAGACAGTGATGAACACTATAACAATGGCAGGTTGCAGGTTTTTTTAATCATAAACAAGCAATAATGATGAGACCCGTTGGCGTGTGAAAACTCGCAGTTGCCATGGCATTAACAAGATCTCATTATATTCAGAGGATGCATGTGAAAATGTGTGGGAGTGTGTGTGTGGATGTGTGCGTGTTCAATGACAAAGACAAAGAGAGATTTTTTTTGACTGAATTTTGATGAATTTGAAGAAGTAAGTGTGTTTGTTTATGACTTATTGATTTGGTGTTATATAAATAATTTTTTCAATTATAAACATATATATTTGTCAGTAATGCACATGCTCTGATGCATAGCACAAATTTTGTTAACAGGTTAAAAAAGTTTAAATGTGTATATATATATATACCATTCAAAAGTTTATGGTCAGTTTTTAAAAATAAATTAATACTTTTATACTTTTAGATAGAATGCATTAAATGAGTCAAAAGTGACAGTAAAGATATTTATAATAGGGCTGCACGATTATGACAAAAATCATAATTGTCGATTATTCCCTTGAAATTGTAATTTCGATTAAACGATT